TAAAAAGCTTTGCGTTTCTTTCTGGTCAAATGAAGCTTCATGTCGCAGAAAGACGAAGATGTTAAAATAAACGCGACGCTGAGCGGCTCTCAGATCTCTGCAGCAGCGACACGTTTCAGGCTGCGAGGAGAAACCTGATGGAAACACGTGTTGCTTTGCTTCCTGTTGATCTGACTTCCTGACGGACGGCGTAGAAATGCAGAACCAGAGCAGGAGGAATCGTCCATTTCCACCTTCCTCCAACCATCAACTCTGGACCGACACCAGGAAATGGATCAGAACCAGTTCTTGGATCACTGCACTGGGTCCCTGATCATCCTGCCGTAGACCCAAACAGCACAGAACGCTGTGGGGCCGTTATGGCCTGTCTAGGTGCTAAAGCTCTGAGGATGACTTCCAGTAGGCGGTCTGTGGATTTATTAAATTAGATAAACACATTTTCTGCTCCTAGCGGAGGGAAAGCAAAGACTTCAGGATGAACCGAGACTGAAAGCAAAAGGATCCGTTTCCAGAATCAACAATTTCCTGATGAAAATAAACCAACTGATCATAAATCAGTAAACAGGAGGAAACAATAATGCAGCGTAAACAGATTCACTGCGACAGAATCCTCACCATCAGAACAGAACAAGCAAAGGGCAACAATATGGCTGCTTGGGAGGGATGACAAATAGTGGGCGTGGTCATCTTCATCCTGCATCATTCCACCAATCAGCTGTCTCCGTTCTTCAGGAATCCAATCAGATCCGCATTAATATCATTCATACGGCGAGAGTCCAAACGGGCCCCTGGTTTCTGCTAGACGCCCAGAACCAGACCCAGAACCTAGACCTAGAACCAGACCTAGAACCAGACCCAGAACCTAGACCCAGACCTAGTGCCAGACCTAGACCCAGAACCTAGAACCAGACCCGGAACCTAGACCTAGAACCAGACCCAGAACCTAGACCCAGACCCTAGACCCAGACCTAGTGCCAGACCTAGACCCAGAACCTAGAACCAGACCCAGAACCTAGAACCAGACCCAGAACCAACGGTTGTCCTGCATGAAAAAATCATGTTTTTCTGGAGTTGATCTTGACTCCATCAACCTGAAAAGGTCCCAGCAGCTCATCTTTGATGATAGCAGCCCATAGCATTACCCCACCTCCACCTTGCTGGCGTCTGAGTGGATAAGGAACTTGCTGCCCTTCACTGATCCAGCCTGGTGCCCATCCATCCATCTGGACCATCTAGACTCTCTCTCATTCCATCAGACCCAAACACCTTGGAGGAATCAGTCTGCAGAGATTTCTTGGCCCAATCTTGACGTTTTGTCTCGTGCGTCTTGTTCAAAGGTGGCCTTTTTTCAGCTTTCCTTACCTTGGCCAGGTCCCTGAGGATTGAGCACCTTGTGCTTCTCGGCGCTCCAGACATGTTGCAGCTCTGAAATATGGAACAACTGGTGGCTAATGGCTTCCTGGCAGCTTCACGCTTCATCCTTCTCATTCATGGGGATTTATTTTGCATCTTTTTTCAACACGCTTCTTGCGCCCTGTTGGCGATTTGCCGTGAACAGCTTGATTGTGCGATGATGCCGCTTCAAAAGCTGCTGCTTCCCTCTGAAAGACATCTGACCATTTCTGACTTTTCAGAGACTGTAAATCTCTTTTCTGACCCATTTTGCCAAAGAAAGGAAGTTGCCTAAAAATTAAGCACACCTTATATAGGGTGTGATGTCATTAGGCCACGCCCCTTCTCATTACAGAGATGAACACCACCTGATTTATTTAACTGGTATTTGGCTTTCAGGCCTAAACAGCTTGGAGTAGGACATGTAAAAAGGACGATGTGGTGGAAATAATCATTTCTTTAATAATTCTGCACAGTGTGAACCTTCCACAGGCGAAACAACCAATCTATGAACTTTTTCCTTTCAGGTTTACGACTATAAAGGTTTAAGCATCTGTAACAGGATACAGATATAAAGGACTAAACTTCTGTTAGCGACGCTCTAACTTTTAAACATGCTGCTTCAAAAGGTGGTATTAGTGTAAAAATCAGATGAAGGCTGATGATAAGAAGCAAAACATTTGAACATAAGTTCAGATTTTCAGATTCAACAAGAAAAGTGATTTAATATTTAGGACGGAGCATCTCTGACGCCTCATTGTTTGGGATTAACCGATTAAACGACATAAACTTTATCAGAAAAAAATATGTTAACTTTATCAAAGACACGTATTTGAAGAAAACTGAAAACATAAAATTAATATAAATTAATTATTAATAAATTACTCCAACCCTCCTTTTGATTAAGAAGATCTTAATTATTTATTTTCAAGATGCGTTTTTTTCTTTTTTCGAAACCAGAACCACTTTTTGGTGGTACCGGGTCAGACATTGGTGGTACCGGGTCAGACATGTTTGATTTAGTTATGATAAAACGTATTGAAAAAAATGTGTTCTAAGCCTGACCTGGTTGGCCTGGTTCTGGTTCCAGGCCTGGTACCGGGTCTGGTACTGGGTCTGGTACTAGTTCTGGTACTGGGCCTGGTACTGGGTCTGGTATTAGTTCTGGTACTGGGCCTAGTTCTGGCTCTGGTACTGGGTCTGGTATTAGTTCTGGTTCTGGCTCTAGTACTGGGCCTGGTATGGGTTCTGGTTCCGGGCCTGGTATTAGTTCTGATACCGGGCCTGGTTCTGGTATTAGTTCTGGTTCTGGCTCTAGTACTAGGTCTGGTACTGGGTCTGGTATTAGTTCTGGTTCCGGGTCTGGTACTGGGTCTGGTATTAGTTCTGGTTCCGGGTCTGGTGTTAGTTCGGGTACTAGGTCTGGTACTGGGTCTGGTATTAGTTCTGGTTCCGGGTCTGGTATTAGTTCTGGTTCCGGGTCTGGTACTAGGTCTGGTACTGGGCCTGGTTCTGGCTCTAGTACTGGGCCTGGTATCGGGCCTGGTACTAGGTCTGGTACTGGGTCTGGTATTAGTTCTGGTTCCGGGTCTGGTATTAGTTCTGGCCTGGTACCGGGTCTGGTATTAGTTCTGGTACCGGGTCTGGATCTGGGCCTGGTACCGGGTCTGGTATTAGTTCTGGTTCCGGGCCTGGTACTAGGTCTGGTACTGGGTCTGGTATTAGTTCTGGTTCCGGGTCTGGTACTGGGTCTGGTATTAGTTCTGGTTCCGGGTCTGGTTCCGGGCCTGGTACTAGGTCTGGTACTGGGCCTGGTTCTGGCTCTAGTACTGGGCCTGGTATCGGGCCTGGTACTAGGTCTGGTACTGGGTCTGGTATTAGTTCTGGTTCCGGGTCTGGTACTGGGTCTGGTATTAGTTCTGGATCTGGGCCTGGTACCGGGTCTGGTATTAGTTCTGGTACCGGGTCTGGATCTGGGCCTGGTACTGGGTCTGGTATTAGTTCTGGTTCCGGGTCTGGTATTAGTTCTGGAGCTGGGCCTGGTACCGGGTCTGGTATTAGTTCTGGTACCGGGTCTGGATCTGGGCCTGGTACCGGGTCTGGTTCCGGGCCTGGTACTAGGTCTGGTACTGGTTCTGGCTCTAGTACTGGGCCTGGTATGGGTTCTGGTTCCGGGCCTGGTATTAGTTCTGATACCGGGCCTGGTTCTGGTATTAGTTCTGGTTCTGGCTCTAGTATCGGGTCTGGTACTAGGGTCTGGTACCGGGTCTGGTATTAGTTCTCGTTCCGGGTCTGGTACTGGACCTGGTACCGGGTCTGGTATTAGTTCGGGTACTAGGTCTGGTACTGGGTCTGGTATTAGTTCTGGTTCCGGGTCTGGTACTGGGTCTGGTATTAGTTCTGGTTCCGGGCCTGGTACTAGGTCTGGTACTGGGCCTGGTTCTGGCTCTAGTACTGGGCCTGGTATCGGGCCTGGTACTAGGTCTGATACTGGGTCTGGTATTAGTTCTGGTTCTGGGTCTGGTATTAGTTCTGGATCTGGGCCTGGTACTGGGTCTGGTATTAGTTCTGGTACCGGGTCTGGATCTGGGCCTGGTACCGGGTCTGGTATTAGTTCTGGTTCCGGGCCTGGTACTAGGTCTGGTACTGGGTCTGGTATTAGTTCTGGTTCCGGGTCTGGTATTAGTTCTGGATCTGGGCCTTGTACCGGGTCTGGTATTAGTTCTGGTACCGGGTCTGGATCTGGGCCTGGTACCGGGTCTGGTTCCGGGCCTGGTACTAGGTCTGGTACTGGTTCTGGCTCTAGTACTGGGCCTGGTATCGGGTCTGGTACTAGGTCTGGTACTGGGCCTGGTATTAGTTCTGGTTCCGGGTCTGGATCTGGGCCTGGTACCGGGTCTGGTATTAGTTCTGGTACCGGGTCTGGATCTGGGCCTGGTACCGGGTCTGGTTCCGGGCCTGGTACTAGGTCTGGTACTGGTTCTGGCTCTAGTACTGGGCCTGGTACCGGGCCTTGTACTAGGTCTGGTACTGGGCCTGGTATTAGTTCTGGTTCCGGGTCTGGATCTGGGCCTGGTACCGGGCCTGGTACTAGTTCTGGTACTGGGTCTGGTATTAGTTCTGGTACTGGGTCTGGATCTGGGCCTGGTACCGGGCCTGGTACTAGTTCTGGTACTGGGTCTGGTATTAGTTCTGGTTCCGGGTCTGAATCTGGGCCTGGTACTAGCTCTCGTACTGGGTCTGGTATTAGTTCTGGTTCCGGGTCTGGTTCCGGGCCTGGTACTAGGTCTGGTACCGGGTCTGGATTGATGGCGACTGAAGATGGAAGCGTTCAAACGTCTTTCAGCTTCTGGTGAGCAGTCAGAGCTCAGCATAGATCACAGTGTGGGTCGGATCTAAGAACGTTGATCTATGATCAAAGTTTAGTATGATGTGAATGAAATGTTTGAGAAATGATGATGCGATCCGACTAAACATCCTTAGAGCGGTCCTGAAGGTTTCTAACCGAGTTCTGATGAAGTTCTGGTCCAGCCAAACCAGAACTTCATCAGAACTTCCTGATCCAGATTTCCTCTCAGGTGGATTAACTGGTTTGTTTTGTTCGTCAGATGAAGGATGGACGCCTCCTGGCTCACTCTGCTCATAATGGCTGCCGTCTTCATCGCCACCGTCCTCCTGGCCGTCGTCTGTCTGGACTGCGGCAACAAAAGTCCTGGTGAGAAGAAGCTCCTCCCACTCATGGTTAAGATGTGGTAGATAGCTCGCCCTGCGGGTTTTACTGACGGACCTTCAAACCAAACTCAGGCCCATATCAGATGTTTGGTTTCCATGTCTGGTCTCCAGCGGAGCCGGGTCACCATGTCACCTCCAGGTCATGTTTGTTCTGCAGCCTCTGAAGCAGGCGAGTCACACTGGAGGTGACCTGGTGACATCACAGCTCCGCCTCTGGTCTCTGGTGTTTGGGGAGACGCTTCCTACGCTGCTAGAACCCACTTAGTTTTCCATTATAAAGTAATCTAATTACTTTTCTCTATAGGTAATATTGTTATTTGTAATCTAAAGCAAGATTGACTGCAGTCAATAAGAGCTGAGCTGCAGGAGGGGACTGCGTTCAGAGAGCCAGGCCTCTGATTGGCTGAGGAGCAGGTGCTGGGAGCTGATTGGTCGAACAGGAGGATAACAGGAACTCTGATCTCCAAATATTCCTAAATTCTCCTTCCATCCCGTTTCCATCCGTCGCTCGCCGATCCGTCCCATCAGCTCATCATCAACCAGATAAACACGCGGGTCGTCCTCCATTTTACATAAAAAAAATGACTCCCCAAAAATAATAAGCGTACTAAACTATAATGTGTTAAAGGTTAATAATGTATTTCCTGATAAAATAAAAGAATTTAAATCCTTCCTGGTTCATCATCTGTTCCTGATCTGTAGAAAATGGGATGCTACGCTACTTCCAGGAGCTAACTTTATCAGCTTTGGATTTAAACAGAAATCTAGTCTTTTATAGTTTAATGTTTTCCTTTCATGCTAACATTATGCTATATAGTGCGTAATCTAAAGAAAGAAACAACTAGAATGCAGATAAAGACGGTTTAATCAGATTTACTGCTCTGATCATGATGACGTCAGAGAAGCTGTTTAACAGAGAAAATGAAAAAAGAGTCAAATTATCTCAGGAAGGCCTGATAACACACCTGCCATCTCTGCTGCTCTCCACCTGAGCCTGGCACACCTGGAGGAGAACACCCACGATGGATGCTGTTCCTGGACTTCAGTTCAGCTTTCAGCACCATCATCCCACAGCATCTGATGGGTTAACATTTGGTCACTGCTGCACTTTAAGGATGGAAATGTTCATTTCGTTGCTAAGCTGCTGCTCATTTACTATCTGTAAGGTGTATAAAAATAAAAGTATTTTTATAAACAGTAGAAAATGCCAATAAAAGTTATAAATGCCAGTGTCAGTGAGGAAGGACATGATGTTATCTTCATACATGAGCAGCAGCTGAGATGCTAGCTAGTAGCTGTACCCAGATTTGAACGCTGTGGTTTCTGTTTCCAGCCTCCATCTCTCAGACGGACCCTACAGAGGAATACGTCCCGTAAGTTTTCTTCTTCTTCTGCTCCATCGACCACTTTAGTCTGAACACCGCATCACTCAGAACCATGTTCTCTGTTTCACCCAGAAGCTCTGGATTCAGAGTCATCCATCCAGGTGAGTCCCTCACAGCTGAGACGCTTCAGGACCTCTGGGAGGGATTCTAGGGTTCATCCATCCATCATCCATCATCCATCCATCCATCATCAATCCATCCATCATCAATCCATCATCCATCCATCCATCCATCATCCAATTCAATCCATCCATCCATCAATCCATCATCCATTCATCCATCCATCCATCCATCCATCATCAATCCATCCATCCATCCATCCATCCATCATCAATCCATCATCCATCCATCATCCATCAATCCATCATCATCCATCCATCCATCCATCTATCCATCATCCATCCATCCATCCATCATCCATCCATCCATCCATCATTCATCCATCCATAATCCATCTATCCATCATCCATCCATCCATCCATCATCCATCCATCCATCCATCCATCATTCATCCATCCATCCATCAGTCCTCCATCCATCCATAATCCATCATCCATCATTCATCCATCCATCCATAATCCATCCATCATCCATCAGCTGATGACATCATCTCACTCTGATTTTCAGCCCAGTCCGTCACCAACCATGTCCCCATCCATTCTCCCAGCAGCCTGATGCCGCAGTGAGTCTCTTCAAACTAAACCCAGTTTTTTCTGCCAGAACCTCACATTAATCTCCAGATATGGTTTTGGAATCTAAGATGGAAACTGATATTTCAGGCTTTTATTGTTGCAAAAAGTGTATTAGTTAGATCTTAATTTAATTTCCTTTGTGTTTATCTCAGCCCAAATGCTGCTGACCGTGGTTCTGAGCGGAGACTCCGGCCCTACACACCGACAGAGACTGGTGGGCTGTCCTAACGAGTTCTCACATCTTCCTGGTGTTAATGTTCCAGACTGTCAGTCAGTTTTTCCTCTTTCTTTCACAGAGAGTAATCCGAGTTACGAGAACGGTAAGTCCCTGGTAGGAGCAGATTCCCCTGGCTTCTCTCCGGCTGCACCATGCTAACCAGAACATCCTGCGTCTTCATGAGTTAAACAGAAAAACATTCGATCAGCTTGACTTTAGGAAGCAGTTCGCTCAAAGATTGGCTCTAACTTAGTGGCTGTTTCATTTCTGCCGGCTGTGGAGGATCAGAGACCTGGACTCCATGGTTCTGTAGGGGCCAGCCCTAATAGATGGAGGTTCTGACCGGTTGGATGTTGGCGTTTGGACTGGTTCTGAACCAGTTGGATCCGGTCTCGACGACTGAATGAGAACCTGTTTGTAGACAAAACTGGATTCAGTTTTTAAGCAAAGTTTGAATGTAGAGTAAGAAAACGGGCGTTTACGTCTTTGCGTGTCGTCCAACAGGGACAGTCGTTCGTTTCCTGCAGGTTATTCACAACCTGTTGGTAGCGGTGACATCGATGAGCGAAAGTTTCCATTTGCGAAGCGTTGCCAGCAGGTGCTGCTGCTCGCCGTGTTCTTCTGGGTGGATCTAGTTACAAATTTTCCTCGGTGCTCCGTTCACAAATTCTTTCCGAATGGACGGCGCCCGGAGGGGCGTAGATGCTAAAAAGGACGTCAGACCTGGTGGATGCGTCAAGCAGGCGGCTGTGGACCCGGTTGGACGAGTCTGGAGGTTTGTAGTCCTGAACGAGGTCATCAGCTTTAGGATGTTTCAGCACAGATACAACATGGACCGAGTTAAAACCTGTTTGGAAAGCGACTTTTCAGGCGACGGCGCCTGCTTGAGCTGAAGGAACCAAATTATGGACAATCTGAACTCAGGACATTTTGGTAAAAGTTACCCGTTGATCCTTTAAGGACTTGGTTGGACACCAGGTGTGTCTGGGCAGGTGTTCATGGCCAACATGTAGAAACAGACAAGTGTTTTCTTTAAGACAGCTGTTCTAAGGTACCAGAGCCCTGCTGTTTCAGAGTTCTCCTCGCCTCCATACACCTGATTAATATGAAGGAATGAGCGAAGCAGGGGTCTATAATAGACTGAGTAGCTATCCGGACAGATTGAACGGCTTCAGGTAGAACCACCTGCCATAGATAAAGGGGAGGATGGTGACTTCCTGGATTCACCTTTAAATTTCATTGGTCAGTTCTGGTGTCAGAGGAAACACCTGGTCGGTCTGAAGCTACCTGTTGAACCGAGGGCAGCAAGAGTCCCTCAGGGGTCCATCTTAGGACCACTTACTGAAAACTTTACCAATATTCTTTATAAGATTGTTTTTGCAGATGATGCATGTTTATCTGCACCGCAGAATCAGCTGATGATCGGTTTATAAATTCTCCTTTAATACAAATGAAAGTATTTTATACTATTCTGTTTAAAAAGGAGACAAACATTTAGAAAATATAACTGTAGATATTCAATTCCTAGGATCATATTTGGTTGAATTTTATTATCTAAATCTTAAGTTGTGTAAATATGCTGGTGTGAGCGGCGCTCCTTTAATCATTTACTCTATTTAAACCGCATCTACATTATGGCGATGCTACTGTGGGCAGCATGAGGCCCTGCTGTGTAACAGATATAGACCGGATATCTGGATATAGACCGGATATCTGGATATAGACCGGATATAGACCGGATATCTGGATATTGACCGGATATAGACCAGATATCTGGATATAGACCGGATATAGACCGGATATCCGGATATAGACCGGATATCTGGATATAGACCAGATATAGACCGGATATCTGGATATAGACCAGATATAGACCGGATATCTGGATATAGACCGGATATCTGGATATAAACCAGATATAGACCAGATATCTGGATATAGACCAGATATAGACCGGATATCTGGATATAGACCGGATATCTGGATATAGACCGTATATAGACTGATATCTGGATGTGGACCGGATATAGACTGGATATATGGATATAGACCGGATATCTGGATATAGACATCTGGATATAGACCAGATATAGACCGGATATCTGGATATAGACCAGATATAGACCGGATATCTGGATATAGACATCTGGATATAGACCAGATATAGACCGGATATCTGGATATAGACCAGATATAGACCGGATATCTGGATATAGACCCGATATCTGGATATAGACCGGATATCTGGATATAGACTGGATATCTGGATATAGACCGGATATCTGGATATAGACTGGATATCTGGATATAGACCGGATATCTGGATATAGACCGGATATCTGAATATAGACCGCATATAGACTGGATATCTGGATGTGGACCGGAAATAGACTGGATATAGACCGGATATCTGGATATAGACCGAATATCTGGATATAGACCGGATATCTGGATATAGACCAGATATAGACCAGATATCTGGATATAGACATCTGGATATAGACCAGATATAGACCGGATATCTGGATATAGACCAGATATAGACCGGATATCTGGATATAGACCAGATATAGACCGGATATCTGGATATAGACCGAATATCTGGATATAGACCGGATATCTGGATATAGACCGGATATCTGGATATAGACCGGATATAGACCGGATATCTGGATATAGACCGGATATCTGGATGTGGACCGGACAGGGAAACTGGTCCAGTACTTCGTTTGAGAACTTTGTTTGTTTTTTTCCAACAGGACCTGATTGCCAGGACAGCGACGCTGAAGACAACGGATACATGTAGGTCTGAGCAACCCCTGCTGCTCCACCCACCACTGACCCCCCTCCCCCCCTCTCATCATTTCTTCTCTGATTTCTACAGAAAGGTTCTTCCTGAAACGGATCAGAGTCGGGCCTCCACTCCCAGCTCAGGTAGAGGTTCTCCTCCGGTTCCTTCCATCATGGTCCCTTAAGTTTAACAACCTGAGCCGCTCTCAGGGAAGGAACCACAGAGCATTAGGCTGCCACTACCGTGCATATGGACATATCAGCTTTAGCCGTTAGCATGTTCAGCTGGTCACGTCTGATCCGTTTGTTTTCTCCACAGATAATCATAACTACGTGAACGTTGGTGAGTTCTGGTTCGTCTGAAGGAAAAACGTTCTGCTGCCTTTTCTCTTTGCTTTGTCACCGTTTGCAAATGTCTCATTTCAGAAGAAGCAATAATCAAACCAGAACCAGAACCAGAGTCGGACCCAGAATCTGAGCCCAGTAAGTTGAGCCCCAGTCTGGCCTGCGGGTCATCAGAGCCTTTGGGTCCGTGGTTCTGACGGTCTGCTGTTTCTCTCCTCAGACTACCTGAACCTGAACGAGATGGACCAGCCCAGTGAGTTCAGAACCTTTCTTTTCATCTGTCTGGGTTCCTTAAATACCAAACGTGTTTCCTGCAGGTGCCACGGCAGACATATTGGGTCACAGTGAGCCGGAGGAGGAGGACGACGACGATGATGACGACGATGATGATAACTATGTGAATCAGCCGCCTGTAGGTTCTGGAACTCACCTGAGCTAAATCACCCACCTGTGGAACAGCAGCTCATTCGCTCCGTATTTTGCTTTTAGATGATCCACTGTTAGCCCGGCAGCGCCTGGTGGGGGGAACCGACCCGACTTCCTCATCTTCACCAGAACCCTGACCCTGCCAGAGGCCAACGCGTTTCGGTTTAGCTTCGCTCTTATCCATAAGCTGCAGGGTCGGGACCGGCCCGGTTCCAACCCTGCAGCCGGCCGAAAGGATTCCTACTTCCAGCAGATTTAGGTCTGAACTGGTCTTTAGACTGAACCGGCTGGTCTTGATTCTGGGTCCAGAACCAACTGATCACGGATCTAAAGGATGATGGTGAAGAGGCCTTCTAGGCTCCTCCATGAGAAGACTGTCTGTTAGCATCAGCGCTAGGACCCGCTCAGCGCTTTTTATCCAGATGGAATTTAAACAGAGACTCTTCTTCTGCTGAAGTCTTTTCCAGTCAGCGTTCAAACCTAAATCTGCTGGGTGTGAATAGATTCAGGCCCAGCTGTGTCCCAATAAACCAGAAGTAGAACATTGATAGACGGTCGTCCATCATGTCTCCATACCAGCCGCCTGCTTCTGACATAAACTAGTTTTATTTTAACAGACCAAAACCAGAACCTCTGAAGGAGATCAACCGGGATCTGAACCAGCAGCTCCTGCTTAGTTAAACAGCCAGAGATGGTTCATCATCTGCTCACCTGTGATTGGCCGTCCGTCACTTCCTGCTTTAACGGACTGGCTTTGGTTAAACCTCTGAGCAGGAAGTAGTATGAATGAAACCTGACCTGGATCAACAAACGCTGGAGAGTCGGATCCATCGATCCGGGGATCCATGGATCCGGGGATCCATCGATCTGGTGATCCAGGGATCCATTGATCCGGGGATCCATTGATCCAGGGATCCATCGATCCGGGGATCCATTGCCTGCAGAGCATCTCACCTGGTTCTGAGTGGACGGATCCACTAAACCAACCAAACGATCCTGGTTTCCTGGTTTCCCTGATGCAGCAAACATTCAGCAGGATGAATCCACATCCTAAAGGTCCTGAGATCTCCTTCATGTTTTGATCCCACCTAACAGGAGCTTTGGTGATTGGAGTCCCTAAGACTCCACAGATGACCGATCACATGACCGATCACATGACCTTTAGAGATTAAAGGGATGAACTGAATGGTGGGTCAGACATGTTGATAACTGATTCCTTTAAATGAGACCCTGTTAAATCAGCATCTCTGAGAGACGTGTTGAGGTTGGGAACACTAATATCGGAACAGAATCCAGATTAATCCAGATTAGCACAGAGGCCAGGAGACTTACTGCTATCGGGCATTTATTTCATTCATTCATGGTAACCTGCCAATGTTCCTGGGGCCCCGCGGCGCCAGCTTGTTTCAGCTTTACTTTCACTGACGACTCCTGAGAATGTCTTCATTTACCTGCTGATTTCAATTAAAGAGAAAAATGCAACAAACCGACTCTGACCTCATTGACTGAACGCAGCGCCCCCTAGAGCAGGTGCTATCAGGTCATCGTCATCGACGGGGTCATCCTGGGATGACGTCATCGACGGGGCCATCCTGGGATGACGTCATCGACGGGGCCATTCTGGGATGAGGTCCATCCTGGGATGACGTCATCGACGGGGTCATCCTGGGATGACGACATCGACGGGGCCATCCTGGGATGACGTCATCGACGGGGCCATCCTGGGATGACGTCATCGACGGGGTCATCCTGGGATGACGTCATCGACGGGGCCATCCTGGGATGACGTCATTGACGGGGCCATCCTGGGATGACGGGGCCATCCTGGGATGACGTCATGGACGGGGCCATCCTGGGATGACGGGGCCATCCTGGGATGACGTCATCGACGGGGCCATCCTGGGATGACGGGGCCATCCTGGGATGACGTCATCGACGGGGCCATCCTGGGATGACGGGGCCATCCTGGGATGACGGGGCCATCCTGGGATGACGTCATCGACGGGGCCATCCTGGGATGACGTCATCGATGGGGCCATCCGAGGATGACGTCATCATTGAATCTGGTTCATTCGTCTTTGGATGAACAGAAGCTCCTCCCAGAGGAGCCGCCATCATCAGAACCAGCCTCTTCCTGCTGCTCTAGTCCAGGTTCTGGTTCTTTGGATCTCAGACTGAAGAACGCAGACAGCATCATCTTCCTCACTGCTCTAAGGTGAGCAGAACCAAGACCAGAACCTCTGGTCCTCTGCAGAGAGGCTGGGAGAATCCAAGCATAACCCGGAACAGAGGATCCATCAGGATCCAAGGAACCAGATTCTGGAGCCCAGCAATGGTTTCCTCTGTCGCCTTTGAAACCAGGGGAGGAGCTCAGAGCAGCAGCTGCTTCTCCGCACTGGGAGGAGGAACAGGATCTGCTCAGACTGGACCCGTCCCACCAGATCAAACATCTGGAGACGATGTCCAATCGGATCAGAACCTTAATGCTACAAAGAGGAAATGAGACAGCAGAGGTCCGGTTCCATGTTTCACTATATTTATATTATATCATCATTAAATTCAATGTAGTACCTGAAACTACGGACACACGGCGAGGAGCGGCAGCGCCGGCCGTCCTCAGCAAACCGTCCCGACCAAGAGAGAGGAGAGACAGAGAAAGGCACGAAGAGTCTCCAATGAGACCAGGGAAGGGGGGAGGACGGGGGGAGGACGGGGGACGGAAAGGCACAACCAGAAAGGGGGGGGTTGGGGGGGCGAACCAAAAAGGCACGAAGACGTCTGAACCCAGATGGAACACGCTTAGAAAATAAAAGCCTTTAATACTATAGTTCTGACCCGGCTGACCCGGGTCCGGTTCTGAGGTAAATGGTTCCTTCCTGCTCCAGACCCAGAACGTTACACGGCTCAGCTTCCAGCCAATCACAGACCACTTCCTGTCAGGTGACCATCTGGGAACCAGGAGTCTTATTGCTGGGTCGGTTCTGGACCTGGGTCCAATAGAAACGTCTGGATGTTCTGGGTCAACAGAAGCTGCTGATGGAGGCAGAAACGGAGACCAGTTGGACCCATTTGGTGGATGGAACAGAACCTTCTGGTCCAGTGGGCTCTAATTGGGTCAGAACCTGCTGCTGTCACCAACCTTCAGCTCCACAGGCTCCTGTTACCATGGTGACCAAGAACTGGGTCAACAGAACCTGCAGCCGATCCAAGCATCAGGACAGAACCCAGCAGCAGGTCCAGGTTCTTCAGGCTGGAGCTTCTCCGGGCTAAACCGGGTCGGACCCCCCACCCCCACCTTCTGATGCAGCAGAAGTTCTGGTTCTGCTGAACCTCAGCCGCTGTCACGGTTCTGGGTTTTATGGCGTCCTTTGGAATCCAGAACAGGTTCCTCCCAGAAGGATGGAGCGGGTCGTCTTCAGAACTTTCGTCCTCTCCACATGTTCTGCTGAGGAGAACCTGAGCAAACTGGACCTCCAGAGGCCCGGTGGAGGCTTCATGCTCTCCTGGGTTATGCTGGTGAAGGTCCGATTCAGACACCTCTCTGGTTCTGCTGGAGGCTTCAGAACCTTTTCCCCTGAATGACTGACAGTGGTCTAAAGAAAGGTTCTGGTTCTGGGCTAAAACGTTTGAGTTCTGGAGGGAAGCCTGGGTCCAAAGGAGGCCCGGCTCAGTGGTCGGCGGCGGTACCAGGGCCGGTGTAAGGTTCTGGGTCTGCTCGGCGCAGTAGGAACACGCTTAGAGAAGGTTTGGCTGTCTTGGCGGGACCACGGCGAGGTACTGGGTCCGCTGGGTTCTGACCCGGAGGATTCAGAACCTGAAGCTTTTCGGACCACAGAGTGAAGAAGTGTTCAGCTGTTAGTGTTGAGCAGCGGCTCGTCTCTGTAGTGTTGGACGGCCAAGATGGCCGCCACCTCCCTCAGAAGAAGGAGTACTGGTTGTCGACGGCGCGGGGGGCCCTGGCTGCGTCCCTGTCCTCCCCGTCCACAGCGTCCAGCTGCCGTAGAGGAGTGTCTCTCTCCCTTTCCTCCCAGTCCTCCACTCCTCCCCCGCTGCCGCCCCCGCTGCCCCCACTTCCTCCTCCACTCCCTGCTCCGCCTGCTGCGGCGGCGGCGGCTCCAAGGGGCGGTGCTGCTCCTCCTCCTGTGGGCTCGGCCTCGCTGCCCCTCTCTTGAGGCGGGGTGGGTGGTGGCGGGCGTCCCGGTGGCAGCGGAGGGGGCTGAGGTGGACTACGGGGTCTGCTGGTCGAGTCTGCAGGAGGATCAGAGGGAGAGAAGAAGAGTGACCAGAGGGAGGAGTGAGGGGAGATCTGGACTCCTAGGAGACGGAAGATGATCGGCAGAAACATCTGATCCCATTTGGACTCTCATTGGTGGCTTCAATGGACCCATCAGTACCGCTCTGTCTCTGCGGGACCTCAGATGGTTCTGGTTTATGAGGGACTGCAGACCAGATCAGGCGCTATGTTGATGCGCGTTCCAGAGAATGAAGCCCAGAGGTCCACAGGTTTGTCCCTCTGGTCCAACGGCTAAGGCTAACATGGGACGTGTTAGGACGGCTAAGGCTAGCATGAGACGTGTTGGGACGGCTAAGGCTAGCATGAGACGTGTTGGGACGGCTAAGGCTAGCATGAGACGTGTTGGGACGGCTAAGGCTAACATGGGACGTGTTGGGACGGCTAAGGCTAACATGGGACGTGTTGGGACGGCTAAGGCTAGCGCTGAGACGTGTTGGGACGGCTAAGGCTAACATGGGACGTGTTAGGACGGCTAAGGCTAACATGGGACGTGTTAGGACGGCTAAGGCTAACATGGGACGTGTTAGGACGGCTAAGGCTAACATGGGACGTGTTAGGACGGCTAAGGCTAACATGGGACGTGTTAGGACGGCTAAGGCTAACACGGGACGTGTTAGGACGGCTAAGGCTAACACGGGACGTGTTGGGACGGCTAAGGCTAACACGGGACGTGTTGGGACGGCTAAGGCTAACATGGGACGTGTTGGGACGGCTAAGGCTAACATGGGACGTGTTGGGACGGCTAAGGCTAACATGGGACGTGTTGGGACGGCTAAGGCTAACATGGGACGTGTTGGGACGGCTAAGGCTAGCATGGGACGTGTTGGGACGGCTAAGGCTAGCATGGAACGTGTTGGGACGGCTAAGGCTAGCATGGAACGTGTTGGGACGGCTAAGGCTAGCATGGAACGTGTTGGGACGGCTAAGGCTAGCATGGAACGTGTTGGGACGGCTAAGGCTAGCACTGGGACGTGTTAGGACGGCTAAGGCTAGCATGGGACGTGTTGGGACGGCTAAGGCTAGCATGGGACGTGTCGGGACGGCTAAGGCTAACATGGGACGTGTTAGGACGGCTAAGGCTAACATGGGACGTGTTAGGACGGCTAAGGCTAACATGGGACGTGTTGGGACGGCTAAGGCTAGCATGAGACGTGTTGGGACAGCTAAGGCTAGCATGAGACGTGTTGGGACGGCTAAGGCTAGCATGAGGCGTGTTGGGAGGGCTAAGGCTAGCATGAGACGTGCTGGGACAGCTAAGGCTAGCATGAGACGTGTTGGGACAGCTAAGGCTAGCATGAGACGTGTTGGGACAGCTAAGGCTAGCATGGGACATGATGGGACGGTTAAGGCAAGCATGGGACGTGTTGGGACAGCTAAGGCTAGTATGGGGCGTCATGGGACGGTTAAGGCTAGCATGGGACGGCTAAGGCTAGCATGTGACGGCTAAGGCTAGCATGGGACGTGTTAGGACAGCTAAGGCTAGCATTGGGACGTGTTAGGACGGCTAAGGCTAGCATGGGGCATCATGGGACGGCTAAGGCTAGCATGGGATGGCTAAGGCTAGCATGGGACGTGTTAGGATGGCTAAGGCTAGCATGGGACGTGTTAGGATGGCTAAGGCTAGCATGAGACATGATGGGACGGCTAAGGCTAGTATGGGACGGCTAAGGCTAGCATGGGACGTGTTAGGACAGCTAAGGCTAGCATTGGGACGTGTTAGGACAGCTAAGGCTAGCATTGGGACGTGTTAGGACGGCTAAGGCTAGCATGGGACGGCTAAGGCTAGCATGGGACGGCTAAGGCTAGCATGGGACGTGTTAGGACAGCTAAGGCTAGCATTGGGACGTATTAGGACGGCTAAGGCTAGCATGGGACGGCTAAGGCTAGCATGGGACGTGTTAGGACAGCTAAGGCTAGCATGGGGCGTCATGGGACGGCTAAGGCTAGCATGGGATGGCTACGGCTAGCATGGGATGTGTTAGGACGGCTAAGGCTAGCATGGGATGGCTACGGCTAGCATGGGACGTGTTAGGATGGCTGATAAACCAGAACCGGTTTCAGCTGGTCGTAGCCGGTTTAACTGTGTTTAACTATAAAATAGAAATGTGAAATAATCAGCATGGACCAGAGCTCACTGGAAACATCTGGAGAACACCTGCACTAACTGGGCTGAGAAGGTCTCTCAGGGCCCACAGCCTGAAGCCACCATGAGAGTCTGGGTAAAAATGGCTCACACTCGTCCTCTCAGCCGTGTCCGGGCGCACTTACACACAATCAGAGATGGGGGTTGATGGAGAGTCGGGATGGCGTGGCGTGGTGATGACATCGCAGACCGTGGGCCGACTGCCTGCCCTATCCCGGCCTGCAGGGGGCGAGCCAACCATACACACAACAACAGAGAGGTCAGATGGACGCTGCTGGGGGTCAAACGGCTCCTCCTGCAGCAGCGAGTCACAAACTGGGACAAAGTGGCTGTTGATGAGAGCTATGAGAATGGAGAACCATGGAGAACCATGGAGAACCACGGAGAACCATGCAGAACCATGGAGAACCATGGAGAACCACGGAGAACCACGGAGAACCATGGAGAACCATGGAGAACCACGGAGAACCATGGAGAACCATGCAGAACCACGGAGAACCACAGAAACACGGACCAAAGCATGCAGAGGCACGGAAAGTGCCCCAGGCCCGTCCAGGGAAGCTACGCCGGCTCCTCCTACCTGGCTGCCGGACCGCTGCGGCTCCCACGAAGCTGATGAGCGTGACATCAGAGGCGCCGCCGGACTCCAGGGGGATGGGGTGCACCCGGAAATGTTCCAACATGTCGAAGATGGACTGGAACCAGAGGTGCTGGACACGGCACTGCCCGTCCTCATTGAGGGACAGACGGAGGTGCTGTGGGACACAGGAGGACGGCTTAGAGGCGCAGAAACGTCCCTCTGGGACAGGAAGTCCTCCTCCGTACTCACCTTGGCCTTTCCCTGGAAGTTAAAAGTGAGGACGTACTCCCCGCGCCGCGTCTCGCTCTGCCGGACCAGGAACACGCCGTGGCTCGCCGGGCCGCCGGCCAGAACCAGCTGAGCCGCTTTGAGGCGCGACAGGGTGCCATGGAACCACTGGCACTCGCTGAGCGGGTGCTCCACGGCGTCGGACGTCACCGCGTCAGAGAAGAGGAATGATCCTGGAGGACGGAGAGACGGGAGCAGCATGAGGTTCTGTTCAGGGCCAGAACCAGGAGACCAGAACCTGGAGATGTCCTCATCAGTCACGGATCCTCGACCAACTGGACTCAAGGGAGGAGGAGGAGGAGGAGGAGGAAGCTCCTCTGAACTTCTGACCGGGTCTGGCTGTAGGAGCGCAGTAAAGGAGACAGAACCGGACCTGATCCAGGACCGTCCAGCAGGGCTGGGGACATTCGGACTGGCTGGTTCTGGTCCCATTGACCGGGTCCCTCAGGGTTCTGCTCCTCGGGGAGGTGCTTACCTGTAGCTTCTGGCGTCTCAGCAAACGGAGTGCCCATCCCGGCGCTGCCGCCAAAGGTCCTGCCATCGGTTTCGTCCAGCGGAGCTCTAGGTGGAAGTTCTGGAGGAAGCGGGTCCATCAGGGGCGAGGAGCCTCCGATCCCTCCGTAACAGACTGAGGGGAACCGCAGGAACCCAGAGAACCAGAACACAGGTAGATGTTTGGGTCAGGAAGAACTTAGAACACGGACTTCTGGTCCTCCAGCCCCCTGGAGAAGTTCTGGTCCAGCTCAGCTGACTTTCTGAAGGGTTTCAGAGTTCCTGTTTGAGAACTATTCTCCTAAAGATCTCTGGATTAGAACCAGCTGAAGTCTCCTGAATCAGGCTTGAAGGAGCAGAACTGGACCAGAACCAGATCAGAACCACTAACTCACCTTGTGAAAGACGCTCGCCGGTCTCAGGTGTACCGCTGACGTCCAACGAGGGGGAGCAGAAACCTTCAGCGTCGTCCTGCTCACTGCGGCAGAGAGAGGAGGGTAAACACCAGATCCAGACAACTACCGGACCAGAACCCCACACCTACTGGACCTACCGGACCAGAACCCCACACCTACTGGACCTACCGGACCAGAACCCCACACCTACTGGACCAGAACCCCACACCTACTGGACCTACCGGACCAGAACCCCACACCTACTGGACCAGAACCCCACACCTACTGGACCTACCGGACCAGAACCCCACACCTACTGGACCAGAACCCCACACCTACTGGACCTACCGGACCAGAACCCCACACCTACTGGACCAGAACCCCACACCTACTGGACCAGAACCCCACACCTACTGGACCTACTGGACCAGAACCCCACACCTACTGGACCAGAACCCCACACCTACTGGACCAGAACCCCACACCTACTGGATCTACTGGACCAGAACCCCACACCTACTGGACCAGAACCCCACACCTACTGGACCTACTGGACCAGAACCCCACACCTACTGGACCTACTGGACCAGAACCCCACACCTACTGGATCTACTGGACCAGAACCCCACACCTACTGGACCAGAACCCCACACCTACTGGACCAGAACCCCACACCTACTGGACCTACTGGACCAGAACCCCACACCTACTGGACCTACCGGACCAGAACCCCACACCTACTGGACCAGAACCCCACACCTACTGGACCTACCGGACCAGAACCCCACACCTACTGGACCAGAACCCCACACCTACTGGACCAGAACCCCACACCTACTGGACCTACCGGACCAGAACCAGAGAACTTCTGTGGTTCTTCAGTGTGTCCTTGATGAAGGAGCAGCTTCTCTATGGAGTCAGAGGGTCTCTGTTCTCGGTCATGTGACCCCCACGCAGCGCAGGATTGGTCAGAGGATTTTTGCTCCGTTAACAATCAGGAATTTAACTCCAAACTTCCAGAGGTCTTTAAACTTCACTGCATTTCTGAGGATTACTGAGACTCTCCTGATGCGCCTTGATCAGTTTTGGACACGTTACTTTGAAAAAGTAATTAGTTATAGTAACTAGTTACTCCACAAAAACAAGGTAACGGCGTTACTCCCATCACTGGCCTCGATACACAAATGCGGATGGTTTGCAACCAATCACAGAGCTCCCTTGTATGAGCCAATCACGAGAAAGAACTCCATGATGACTGACCCCCAGATCCCACATCCTCCGTTTATTACTAATAATTGTTTATGGAGCAGAAATACTTTGGCCAATCCTGCGCTGTCTGTGGATCACAGGTGAATACTGAGTTCCAGCTCCAAACGTCTTTGATGTCCAGACGTCTCCTGGCTGTGATGTCCTCAGCATGCCAGGCTGTTTGGACCCACAGAACCGTCGGTACCAGAAGGAGATGGACATCTCAGAACATCTGACAGTCTGATGTCATGGAGAGGTTTCCTTTGGACTCAACAGCTTCAGAGGTCCTGATGGGACCAAAGACCAGCGGTCCTCATTGGACCAGCGGTCCTGATGGGACCAGAGGTCCTGTTGGGACCAAAGACCAGCGGTCCTCATTGGACCAGCGGTCCTGATGGGACCAGATGTCCTGATGGGACCAAAGACCAGCGGTCCTCATTGGACCAGCGGTCCTGATGGGACCAGAGGTCCTGATGGGACCAAAGACCAGCGGTCCTCATTGGACCAGTGGTCCTGATGGGACCAAAGACCAGCGGTCCTCATTGGACCAGCGATCCTGATGGGACCAAGAACCAGCGGTCCTCATTGGACCAGAGGTCCTGATGGGACCAAAGACCAGAGGTCCTGATGGGACCAGCGGTCCTGATGGGACCAGAGGTCCTGGTGGGACCAAAGACCAGCGGTCCTGATGGGACCAGCGGTCCTGATGGGACCAAAGACCAGCGGTCCTGATGGGACCAGAGGTCCTGATGGGACCAGCGGTCCTGATGGGACCAAAGACCAGAGGTCCTGATGGGACCAGAGGTCCTGATGGGACCAAAGACTAGCGGTCCTGATGGGACCAAAGACCAGCGGTCCTGATGGGACCAGCGGTCCTGATGGGACCAGAGGTCCTGATGGGACCAAAGACCAGAGGTCCTGATGGGACCAGCGGTCCTGATGGGACCAAAGACTAGCGGTCCTGATGGGACCAGCGGTCCTGATGGGACCAGAGGTCCTGATGGGACCAAAGACCAGAGGTCCTGATGGGACCAGAGGTCCTGATGGGACCAAAGACCAGCGGTCCTGATGGGACCAGCGGTCCTGATGGGACCAGAGGTCCTGATGGGACCAGCGGTCCTGATGGGACCAAAAACCAGCGGTCCTGATGGGACCAGCGGTCCTGATGGGACCAGAGGTCCTGATGGGACCAAAGACCAGAGGTCCTGATGGGACCAGCGGTCCTGATGGGACCAAAGACTAGCGGTCCTGATGGGAGCAGCGGTCCTGATGGGACCAAAGACTAGCGGTCCTGATGGGACCAGCGGTCCTGATGGGACCAAAGACCAGCGGTCCTGATGGGACCAGCGGTCCTGATGGGACCAAAGACCAGAGGTCCTGATTGAACCAGAGGTCCCGATGGGACCGGTTTGGTGGGAAAACAGGTCTCTGCTAGAGTGTGAAAATCAAAGAGAAAGGAAGTGAGCCGGTTCTGACCCGGCTGGGTGATTACCTGAGACAGATGGCGTTTCTGATGTCACTTAGCCAGGCTCTCATTTGGACGGCGTCTCGCGTTTCGATCACATACTGGGCCGACCCCTCCAGCTGAGAAGAACAGAGACATGCGGGTCAGAGACGGGTCAGAAACGGGCAGGCCTGTTTGGGTTCTGGTTCCACCGAGGGAAACATCCAGAACCACAGCAAGTCTGAAGATCACAGGTTTTTATGTTTGTGATCTACGGAGGGCCATGAGGGACACTCCTTAGAGACCCTAACGTCTGATTGGCTGCTTCATAGCGAGTCATCATCATCATCATCATCATCATCATCATCATCATCATCACAGCTGTCTGCTGGTTCTGAAACATGGAAGCTGCTGATAGACCACAGAGACCCGGCTGTTTCTCAATAAGTGTGCGTCCTCGTGTCCTCGTGAAACGTTTCACCCTCAGCCCTCGTTCTGTTCCAGTTCACAGACAAAGTATCCGGATGATGGCGAGTAATTGTTTCATTTGGCAAAATGTTCCTTTGATTTGTGTTTATATCATTATTCCTCCACTAAATGAAAAAAGAATAATTTAAATATGATTTCACTAGGAATTAAATCTAATAAAACTGGAATAAACAAGAATAGAATTAAACTTTATTCTCATTCCACTTTCACAGTACAGAGCAACAAAATTCCCTCTCTGCATTTAACCCCTCCCCTTGGGGAGCAGCGGGCTGCCATTATGTGGCTCCCGGGGAGCAGTGTGGGGTTAAAGGTTAGACTCCCAGCAGCAGTGTGTCGCAGTGAGCTTGATGCAGACATTTTTGGTTTATACTCAATTTTGATCGTCGTCTGCGCTATACACTGTGGGTCTAGATACGGCCGAGGCGGCGAGGACATGGGGGGCCAGGTTATTCAACAACGCAGGGACATGATGGCTAAAAAGAGCGGAGATCCAGCTGGAAAAGGGTCCCCGCGTTCTGGCGTACCTCGCTCTTCTAGCTGGTCCATTGTTTTCCGCAATGGCGGTCATAAAAACAAAACAAGCCGGCCTCTGCGGCACTGTCTGTGCTCACCTACAATTTGGGAGGCGCAGCAGAGTGTCTGCGGGGGGGGGGGGGGGTGGGGGATAATCTTTGCTTAATAATTGGCAATCCTTTTGGGGAAAGCCTGGTCTGTTTCGGAGAGATGGCATCCATCCCACTTTGGATGGTGCAGCTCTTCTTTCTAGGATCTGGCCACATTTATTAGTCCTCCAGAACCCTGACCCCCCCCCAGGGTGCAGACCAGGAAGCAGAGTCCTAGTTTAACAGACCTCTCTGCAGCTTCTCTACTGTTACCCACTCTTTACTCCATCCAGACAGTGTCTTGCCCACGACCAAAATCTAATAAATTAGCAAATATTCCCAAAGGAGTAAATCATGATAATCTAAATAAAATCAAAATAATTCCAATTGGGGGGAAAAGTTAAAACGATTAAATGCGGTCTGTTTAACATAAGATCTCTTTCCTCTAAAAGTCTGCTAGTTAATGACTTGTTTTGTGATAATCACATTGACTTGTTTTGCCTTACAGAAACCTGGCTGCAGCAAGAGGATTATGTGAGCATAAATGAGGCAACTCCTTCAAGCTATTTAAATTTTCACATCCCCAGAAGTTCTGGGCGAGGAGGAGGAGTAGCAACAATCTTCCAGTCTGACTTACTGATTACTCCCAAAACAATTAATACCTACAACTCTTTGAACATTTAACCCTTAATTTCCCTGATCCAAATTTCAAGGCAAGAAAACCTCTTCTTTTTGTAACTTTGTATCGTCCACCAGGTCCTTACTCTGAATGTTTAGATGAGTTTTCAGAGTTCCTTTCTGATTTGGTATTAAATACTGACAGGGTCATCATAGTGGGAGATTTTAACATCCATGCTGACATTGAAGGCGATAGCTTAAGAGCAGCCTTTAATGCTATCTTAGACACTATTGGCTTTGTTCAAAATGTGAATAGTCCCACGCATTCTCATCTTCATACTTTGGATCTTGTGCTGACATACGGCATAGAATGTGAAGAAATAACAGTATTTCCTCACAACCCTGTCCTCTCTGACCATTTTCTAATAACCTTCAGGATTACTTTAACAGAGTTCTCCTCCCCCAAAAGAAGGTTATATTTTAGTAGATCTTTATCAGATAGAGCAGTTATACATTTTAAAGAATCTGCTTCACTTTCTCTCTCCTCTGTGTCGCTGAGCAGTGCTGCAGAGTGCAAAAGATTAGCTTATTCCCCTTCACAGGTTGATGATTTTGTTGATGGGGTTGCTAGTTCTCTGCGTATTGCCTTAGACAACGCAGCTCCTTTGAAAATGAAAACCGTTAAAAATAGAAAGCTTGCTCCTTGGTTTAATGCAGAGCTGCGTACTTTGAAGCAAAATGCTAGGAAACTGGAGAGAAAATATCGCTCCACAGGCCTGCGGGAGTCCTTCCTAGTCTGGGAAAATGGTTTACTGCTGTATAAGAGGACCCTTTGTAAAGCAAGAGCAGCATATTTCTCCTCATTAATAGAGGAGAATAAGAATAATCCTAGATTTATTTTTAATACAGTTGCCAAACTCACTCAGAGCCATAGCTCTGTTGAACCGATTCAGTGAACCGATTCATTGAACAGATTCATTGGACCGATTCAATTAACCGATTCATTGAACCGATTCAATGGATCGATTCATTGGACCGATTAAATTAACCGATTCAATGAACCGATTCATTGGACCAATTCATTGAACAGATTCACTGAACAGATTCATTGGACCGATTAAATGAACTGATTCAATGAACAACCAATTCATTGAACAGATTCTTTGAACCGATTTAATGGATTCGATTCATTGGACCGATTCAATGAACCGATTCAATGAACCGATTCATTGGACCAATTCATTGAACAGATTCATTGGACCGATTAAACGAACCGATTCATTGGACCAATTCATTGAACAAATTCATTGGACCGATTCAATGAACCGATTCCGATTCATTGGACCGATTCATTGAACCAATTTATTGGACCGATTCAATGAACCGATTCCGATTCATTGAACCGATTCATTGGACCGATTTATTGGACCGATTCAATGAACCGATTCCGATTCATTGAACCGATTCATTGGACCGATTCAATGAACCGATTCATTGGACTGATCTATTGGACCAATTCAATGAACCGATTCAATGAACAGATTCCGATTCATTGGACCGATTAATTGAACTGATTCCCAGAACCGGATCAGTACCTGCAGCAGGAAGGTGTTCTCCTTGTCGGGGACCTCCACGGCCGTGGTGCTCCTCACGTCCACAATGGAGAAGCAGGGAACGGTGAGCCGCGGCTTGGAGGACTGAAACACAGAAGAGCGGTTCAGCCCAGAGCGGTTCCTGTCTTCTCCTGGTTCTGATCCGGTTCTGATGGACCCATTAGGTAGGGAGAGACTCACCTTTGGAGGGATGAAGAACTCCAGGTAGTACTCCTCTCCTCGCTCGCCCCCCTCACGGTCCCGCTCTCTGAGAACCAGACGACATTTATGCCAGCGGCCCCCCCTCCAGGGAACCCTGCCCCCGCTGACCAGAGGCGGCACCGGGGCCGCCTGGGGGCTGGCCGAAGCAGCCGAGGGGCTGCTTTCTGTGCCGTGATGCAGCAGGCCGAAGGTGAAGCCGGAGAAGACGTGGCTCCCCCCCAACTCGTCACTGGACGAGCTGACGCTCACCCCCCCCTCCCGCACCAGCCGCCCCACCTTCCTTGGAGGAGCCGCGGCGGCGGCGCTGCCCAGAGGAAGTGAGTTGGAACCGTGGGGCACGTTCTGGCTGAGGAGCGGCGGAGGAGAGCGGGTCAGTCGGAGCTTCTCCAGGCGATGGCTCCACTTGTCCTTCTCGCCTCCTTCGCCGTTGCTCCGCCGGCGGTCCCTGGCGGCCTCAGACACTGACAGCGAGGTGGCGCTGCTGGAGGAGGAGGGAGGCAAGGAGGAGGAGGAGGAGTGAGGAAGGCAGAGGGGCATAGACAGCGAGACGGGCATGGAGGAGGTGGGCGTAGGGGGCTGTGTGGCAGCGCCCCTCTTGGCCGAGTCCTGCACCCCCACGGTGTAGCTGTAGCTGGAGGGCAGCGGCGTCTGAGCCGCGTCGCTGGAGGAGCTCCGCCAGTGCAGGATGCCGCGGACGCTGCCGCGGACGCTGCGCCCCACGCTCCGCAGCGAGAAGCGCTTCTTCAGCTTGTTTTTGGAGGAGCTGGACAGGCTGCTCCCTCTGGAGTCGGGAGGAGGACTAATGGAGGATAGAGGAAGATGAGGAGCGCCGTCGGCCTCCGAGGACTCGCCCCCCCGCTCCTCTGTCTCCACACCTTCGTCCACCGACGCCGCTCCGAGCCAACTGTCCTCCTCTTCCTCCGCCGGAGCGTCTCCGTTGGCGGGGTCCGGCACGGCGCCCCTCTCCTCCCGCCGCCCGTTGTTCCCGCCCACCGAGGAGCAGCACGACGACGAAGAGGAGGGGGGTAGGACACCGCCCTGGGCGTAGGAATCCTGAAAGCGGTCGCCGCAGCGGCTCTCCAGCACTAGCCGGGACGGGGCGGGCTTGGGCGTGACCTGCGCCGTGCCGGTTGGGGGGCCCCGCAGGGCCGCTCCCCCGGGTCCTGAAAGGGGGGAGACGGCATCCTCTTCCAGGGAGGTAGCATCAGATGGGGGAGCCCAGGCCCCTCCCTCATCATGCCCCGGAGCGCAGCTCGGAGGGAGCGCCCCCTCCAGCTCGCTCTGGAAATGGCGGATGAAGCGGTCGGTGAAGCGCCGGCAGAACGCCGCTGCCGAGTCCGGGGTGTAGTGTGGGTTTTCCTGGAGAAACGCCCGGAAGTGGCGTGCAAAGTCGCCGGCTGCGACGCGTGCGTGGAGTTCACAGAATTCGGTCCAGCTGAGGGAGGGGGACGGCGACGGCGTGGGGGTGTCAGACAGGGAGGAAGGGTGGGGCTGGGGCGGCGGGCTGACCAGAGGGGGGAGAGGGGGCGGTCTGGAGGTCAAAGGTAAGAGGGAGGGGGGTGGGGGAGAGGGAGATGGGGAGGGTGGGAGGGGGGAGGAGTTAGTTGCCCGCGGGCTGGGCGGGGTCAGAAGGGAGCCGTTCATCCTGGGGAAACGTTTGGGACTCAGTTCAGTAGGATCACTTCAGGCACCAGCAGCACATCTGTCTGCTCACTCACAGCCCAGCAGGTCAGTATGGACCCGAAACCACGGCAGGTCCGAGTGCTGCAGCCCTGTTACATCATCTCTGAGGGGGCGACGGCAGCGAGCTTCAGCAGCAGAGCCCGTTCCTCAGACCAGCTTCAGGGAAGCGGCGTCATCTTCATCCTCTGATGGCCGTCCTGAGAGCAGCGGTCACATTCTGGAAACACACAGACACACATGAACCGTCAGGCCACCGCTAACGGGGGTGGAAACACGTCCCCCGCCGATGGGGGCGGGAACACGGCCACTGCTAACGGGGGGTGGGAACACGCCAACTGCCGACGGGAACACACCTACCGCCAACGGGAACACGCAAACCGCCGACGGGGGCGGGAACACGCCAACCGCCAACGGGGGCGGGAACATGGCGATCACTGACAAGGGCGATAATATGCCGATCCTCGACGGGGGCAGCAACAAGCCGAGGGGGGTGGGAACACGCCGATCGCAGACGGTAGCGGGAACAAGCCGACAGGGGCGAGAACACGGCCACCGCCAACGGGGGCGGGAACATGACGCCTGCCATAGGGGCTGGGTACATGCCCCCCCTTCGATGGGGGCAGGAAAACTCCAATCGCCGACGGGGGGGCGGGAACAAGCCGACGGGGCCAGGAACAAGGCCACTGCCGATGGGGGGCGGGAACCAAAACCCAGACTGGCGTGACTGCAGACTGGGACACTAACCAACCAGTGGATTCAGTGGGAGATGTTTGGGGGGGGGCCATCAGGCCCTCACAGTGACACCCGGATAAAGCAGAACAGGCTGAACTACATGATTTTATTCTATTCCTCAGTAATAAACCATCTCTGGTCTTAATGGCCTTTCATTTATTATAGATCATAAAAACGTTAGTTTACATTAACTGCTGTCTGATTGAACGTGTCTAATTTTTGATTTTCATGGATTTTAATCAATATGTTTAAACCAGATTTAAATCTGATTTTAGCTGCTTTGTTTGGCCTCACTTCCATTATTAAACTAACGGTTTTATTAGAATCTGAAGACATGCTGTCCACACCTGTCCACATGCTGGACATTATTGTCCCTGAAGGACTGTCCACCTGAGGAAACAGGTTGATGTGAGCTAACTGTTAGCAGCGATCATCATTCAGCTTCTTAGCCGCCATCAGCTCACCGCCTCCTGGAACCAGCAGCTGCTTTCATCCTCAGCAGCTCTGATGCTGCTTTTATAAACACGATCCTCAGACTGAACCAGAAAACCAACCGCAGCTAACCCAAAACATTAGCTCCGAGCTAAGGGCTAACAGTTAGCCGCTAACTAGCTGCTAACTAATGAGCCGTACCTTCTCCTTCCAGCCTGGTTCCTCCTCTGCAGCTCAGATGGTCAAAGCTCTCAGCATCCAGCGGGTCAGCAGGATTAAACCAGCCTGGTCCTCAGAGCTTCTGGCTGCTGCTGTTGATGCTAAATGTGAGCCTTGCTAAACCTTCACCAGCCGTGATCTCGCACGGCTTCATTTCTCGCGATATTTACCAGAAGGTCGGTCTTCTTTGAAGTTACAACTCCCTGCAGAAAAGCTACATGTTTTCAAATATACCTTATGTGATTTATTATTATCTAATAATAATAAAGATAATTATATATAAAAATAATAGTAATGATAAATAAAACAAATTTATGTTTGTATTTAAAAATGTAGCAAGACGGGATATTGTTTAAAAAAACTAAACTAAGTTATTAAAAATATATATTAAAAGAAAAACTGAATAAAGTATAAATAAATCCCCTGTAAATGAAAGAAAAGGAAATTATAAAATAAATATTTAATTAAAAAGAACGGCTCTAATATAAAATGATGAAAACGAAAAAGAAACTGGGTTTCTTTAAATATATTCATAAATATATTTTGTTTTTGTTTGTTAAGTGAAACTTTATGGTAAAAAGTGTGATATAAACTATTCAACCGTTTCTGTGAGGTTTTGTTTGATTATAATGAAAATAAAAAAGGTTGCATTTCTCCAGAGGTTTTCCTTTGTTGGATGAGATGATTGGATCGCTGCAGGACCTCAGGATGTTTCCTAAACATCGACCGAACTTCCTGCTCCTGCTCTGGATCTTCATGTTATTTATTAAATAAAAATGATTTCAAAAGGCGGCATAGAGCTGAAAATGATGCAACAGCAAAATAGAAATACATCCTAGATGTGTGCTGTTATTCTGAATGAACCTTTTCATTCAATTCAGTTGGTTTCTAATTCATCTCAAGGCTCTTTAGGGACTGTTCAATCCGAGCATCCTGATTGGTTAAAGGTGAAACTCAGCTGACTGCAATTATTCTAGATCCTTTAGTTCTGGTTATTTCTGAGCTCAGTTATTCACCATGTGTGGAAATCTGTGTCCGTATGATCAAAGGTGTCGGGTAGTTACTGTAGATTCACTGCTCTGCCATGTTTACTGAGTAAAGTCATTAGAAAGTATTGCTGTTCTTAAAGGAATAGTACACCCAAAACATGATTAGCCTTCATTTTCTACTCACCCCCATGCTGAACAACACTCTGGAGTACTTTTTTGATATCTCAAATGCATCTGGAGATCTGGGAGGCTTCTTGCTGTCTGCTGACATTCAAATAATGGAGGTCTATGGTGCCCGAGACAGAAAGGTCCATAAAAGTCCACAAAAACGTGTCAATAATCCTCCATACTGCTCGTCCAATGTATTCCAAGTGTCCTGAGTGGGTAGCATCCAGAATTTACTCGAAACAAAGTCATTTAGAATATTTCTGATTTATGCCCAGTTTTGAAGCGTGGTCTGCGCTACGTTATTCTACCCTTACCCCTAGCTGGGTGTCTAGATACGGCGGTGAGGAAGTGGGGGCTGCCACGGCCGTGCCGTCCACTGTCACGGCTGTACGTGGATAAAGTTCAGCGTAGAGAAACTCGACCTTCCTGTGACCTTCCTGACCTTATTGACAACCTTCAGGATGAACTAGAATGGAGAATAAGGACTTGGTATAATTGGAGAAAATCAGAATTAGGAATATTCTGCATTGTATTATGATATGATGCATAATATGATGCATTAACTGCTAAAGTACTGGTTTCATAAATATAATTAAAATGCATTTAAGAAAAAGAAAATTCTTACTTTTTATTTGGAATTTTAAATTTGTTTGTATTTTACTGGTTAAAATACAAACATCTGCAAACGACTGGATTTTTGTTTAGTAAAATATCAATATTGAGAATAAGTTCTGATCGTAACATTAGAAGTGGAGAAACATTTCTTTTATTTTATCTTCCTTAAGTCATTTCTGAGATGGCTACTTTCTACTGCAGAAAAATCTGCTCAGAAGCTGCTAGTAACTAGATCCTTTAACTCAGTTACATTTACTGCTGTATTTTGGAGAGAAAATGTTCGATCAGGAGTAGCTTTACTGCAGCACACCTCTTCCTTCTAGTTGAGTAATATTCTAGTGACGTATTTCTGTCTGCTCTCAGTCTCTGAGCAGTTATCGCCTCAGAGCTTCTTAACATAGATGCAGTTTTCACAAGGAGGATATATTTCATGAGTTTTATGTTGAAAATCCTTTTGGAAATGTGTTTCTTCTGCAGGAATTCGTGTTTTTTAATAATATAAATTAAATCTTTGAAATAGCAAAACCTGTAAATAAAGTCTGTCTGCTTTTTTTCTAAACATTAAATCAGATGTTCTGATGCAGCATTTTCTCTGAATCTCTGATCACCACTGTTTTACTTTTAGTAATTAAATGTTGAAGTGATGTTGCTCTAATTTAGGCCCAACAGTTGCTTCTCTTCTCTACCCACCTGTCTGTTTCTTTGCTGTCTTGTGTGTTCACTGCCCCCTAGCGGCCAGAGAAGGTTCTTTTTTCACTCTAACATGTTTCAGATCAGGATCATTTCTCTGGATAAACTCTAACTTCAAACTGTGTAATAAATTCTATGTTCTGGAATAATCTCCTCTCCATTATGTTCACCTGATTTCAGACAAAAATCATCTCAAAGATGTTCAGAAAATATGAACTTTATGGTTGTCAGGGTTTTAAAAATGAGCAATAAACAGAGCAGAGTCTTTAATAAAGTCCAGCATTTTACAGATAAAAACATTCAATGTCAAATATTTAGAAACATAAAATGTTTAAAAGTTGCACCATTTTCGCATGAGAGGTTTTCGTGATGAACTCGATCAGAAAACATCAGTGTCTGAGTGAGGTCACGTGAGGTCACGCACACAAATAGATGGAAGCGGAGATGAAGATGGTTTTATTAAACCTCTGCATAGTAATACAGGTAGACTGTCCGTGCTGCGGTGGTACGGCGCTCCTTTAATGGGGGGACCTTACCTTACGCAGCCCCGCCTAAACGCACAGCATTATGGGAAGTTACGTTTTTATACACTATACATCCATACACAAAAAAAACATCAACAAATCTGAGATATTTACAAGCCAGGCATAGAAACCAGCCTGTGTTTAGTGTGAGAGGAGTCCCATGTCCTAACAGGCAGTGTTGGGAAAGTTCTCTTTCTATGTGAACTAGTTCAAAGTTCAGTTCACACATTTTAAAATGAACTAGTTCAGTTCATAGTTCATAATTCAAAATTTTGAACTAAGTTCACAGTTCCAAAAAATGAACTAGTTCATAGTTTTTTTTTTCATATATTGCTCAATTACACCATAGCCTACTGTAGAACCACAGACAGCAATTATTTTATCAGTTGTAACACTGAAACTGTGCGTCAGATTTCATCTTCATATCCAGTTTTGAATCCTTATCCAACCAGGGTTTACATTAGCATTGAGGGGACAGCATTTCCCCATTGTTGCTTTAACGCTTTGTTGCTGTCCATTCACTTCACACTAGTAGCAGCTGCAGCTTTCACCCCTACAGTATATTCTCAAAAACATCAGGAAAAATGTGCTGCTTGAATGGTCTTTTTTATGAGTAATTATTAAAAGAAAAACAGGAAAGTAGTCTTTAAGGTGCAAATGTTTTTTTTTATTTTAATATTTTTTTCAATTTGAAATTCCATTTCAGTACATACTAAA